GTCAGCATCCTGTGTGGTACAGTTTTATGCACTCCCCAAACCTTAAGCTTAGGAGCAGCCAAACATCATACTGCTAGCCAAATGGGTTGCTCACAATGGTAGGCAAGTTTATAAAGGGACCCAATACTGAGATTAAAGACTATAAAGGGAAGTGGAAACCAGAATCTATCGTTATGTATCCAGCCAAATTTTTATTTCCCATTCATCCTGTGTCATCTAGTTTATTCCTTCTGAAGCATGAGATAGAGTTACATACTTCACCGGCACTGTCAATCTCAGCGCCAGCTAGGCCCATGCTGCTGACCCACCTACAGAAATCCTTAGTAGTTTGATTGGGTCCAGGCTCTTCATTACCAAGAGGCCTTTTAAGACATCAAGAAATCAATCATCTGCCTGGTTGCCTTTAATGAAAGCACCGTTACACAGGATAAAAGGGGATGGAGCACGAAACAGTATCCATGGTGGAAAGGCCAAACCAGAAAAGAGGATGTCTGAAGAACAGAATGGAAGACTTGAGAATTAAGTCAAGAAGAGAAACAATAAAACAATAAAGCTGTATGGAAATGAAGCAGGAAGGTATGAACAGGAAAGTTACAAATGGAATGGAAAGCTAAAGTGACTACTTTTCGTGAAAGAACAAACACACCTCATTACGACAAAGAGTTAGTAACATATTCCCATGTACTAACTTCCCGTGCAACAATCACTAGTTATTTTAGTGGATTACAGCTGTACGACCATAAGAAATCATTTCCACATACTGTTGAGGAACTTCAAAAGCAACTAACAAGTCTGAAATCAATCTCTCTTCTCTTAAAAGTTTTACATAGCAAAACGTTGTAACAACTGCATAAAGTATTTTATATTAACAATAGAGAGGAGTTCAGACTGTAAACTGCTCTAGGCTATGATTCATTCATGGCGCTCTGCCAGAAAAATAAATACATTCAAGACCAATGGCCTCAAGGGGAAAGGTAGGCCACTTTTTAAAAAGCAGAGAGATAAATGATTTACAGGACGGAATACAGTTTAAGATTTCAGCCTATATGGGTGATGAGGAAGGACTTACGTCTCACGAAGATTTACTGCACAGACTTGAATACTGGCAATGTATCAACAGATGGAGTAAACTAGGAACTATTAAACTGGGATTTGCAAGACTCTCTCCAAAGAGCAAGAAATGACCCATTATATTGCTATACACAAAGAAAGTTCATAAAGCCAAATCAAGATATGCAACGGGTGTTTCAGCCACGTAAGACAAACACGGCCAGTTCAGATTACAGGCAAACTCTGCAGTAAAGTAACACCTGTAAAGTGAAAGACCAATCCACTGGCAGCATGACAAACAGTTTAAAGGTTGGGAGGGTTTGACGCCATACAGCATCTGCTGCACATAAAAATGTTTAATTAGCTGCTAAACAGCAAGCAGTACATTCCTATTTTTTCTATGAGAACATTATTTCTTGAATAAATGTCCTTGCTTAGCTAGCAAGGTTCAGAACGAAGATAGCTGTTTCGCTACGGGAGCTGAGGCCAACTCGTTCTCACACATCAGACAGAAGTTGATTACAAGTCAAATGTTTTGAACCACCATTTCAGTAGCAAGCACCCTCTGAAACACCAAAACCACTTCTAAATGTGTCTTACTTTAATATTCAGAACATTATCTTTAACTGTATTGCTAATGGCTTTTAAAAGAAAGCTGCTCTTTTAAATGCTTCCCTAGAGTTACAACTGCATTTCATCATTTAAAAAATTATAGATTTAACTGCTGCTCATCCCCAAACTTAGCAGTAGTGAGGAACTAAAGAGAAACACTGATCCTCTTAGGATGCAAGATATCCCCATAGGATATTCTATTTAAAGTTCTGGTACACACACATCTCCAAGGTACCCTCTCTCAATAAAAGGGAAAACAGCCACAACCTCAAGGTAACAAATAAAAACTACCAAAAGGAATGAGCTGTTAGAATCCAGCTTTCACTTACGCTGCAGCCATACCCCAGGAGGGGTTCAACAGTGTCCGACTGTACTGAGACATCACACAGATTTTTTAAAAAAATTTTTATTTCTGTAGATTCAAGCCCAAGCTGTATGTTGCCATTAGTCTCAAAAAGGAATTACATACCTATTTAACAATGGTAGTAATATATGCATTTTAAGTCAAGCATGTGATTAAATGCTCTGCTAGTAAGAATTCTCAACCAGATGTTGGGCAATCTTATGACACATGATCTCTCTCAACCAGTGCTTGAAGCAGTTGTAATTTATGAGCCAGTGGCTTCACATCCTGTAGTGCTGTTATTTCACCAGGTTTAAAAGCCCCATCCTCACCTTTTCACATAAAAAAAAAGTACACGTTGTTCAGGATGGTTTTGTTCAGTGATACTACTTCCCAGTATGGCTCATGATGTAAAACTTCACTTAATTGTACTATTACAGGAGAAAGGAATGAGCTCCTTAAAAGGTAAGAATGTCTAGTTTTGCCACCACCTACTCTTTTTTTTTTTTTAATTTGGTCATATTGCTTATTCTGTGGAGAAGTTTTTGCTCCATCTGTGCACCATAGATGTCCCCCCCCTTTTTTTTTTCCCTTTCAGCTCATACATTTCTATACAGCAGCTAGGAAAGCCTGCATCCTTGAGGGAATTATGGGAATTACAAAAATGCAATAGTTATATTTTCATTTACAGACATGAAGAGGAGATATATGAGACAAAATTTGGAGTAACATTTTAGCTGTTAGCCTTAATTATCTGGTAATGTATTCACTGCATGGAATAGTTTTCTAACAATCCAGTGTGCAGCAATTGGCATTTTTTAAAAACACAAAAACAACTCTATTTTTCTGCTTACAGTATTCATTTTCCAAAAGTTGACTACAGGAACAGAATTCACCCATGCAGAGAAAAATACAATTTCACTAAGAGTGATCTTCCTGAATTTGTCGAGGACAAATCTTGACCAGTGGTTAGCATCCTCTCCTTCAGAAGGAGTTAAGGCTCACTTAGGCCCTTTCCCACACCGCCTTAAAAGAAAATAAACACGACTACAAAAGAAAGCCCAGAACATATAAAATTCAGTTACATTAAAAATAAATAAATAAATCAAGCAATCATTCTGCTAACTATTCATGCAGAGGGTTATTTTTTAAATTGTCCTGTTTCCTACAAGGTGTTGATACATTATGTGCTGTCAATTTCCATTTCCAAATTTTTTTTGTATCCCAAGACATTCACAGATGAGGACTTCCTCCCCGCCCTCCCCAATAATACAGTGGACCCTACTAAAAATTTGCTAACACCAAATTGCTGGTGTAAAAATCAGTCTTTTGTCCATGCTCCTGCCCATATGCAGTTTCCCCTACGGTGTACTTCATTTGGGACAAAAAATAAAAGCTGTTACCTCATTAGATGACTAAACCAGGCAGTTCTGCCAGCACTGCACTTCTTACCTGGTAACTATTTCATTCAAAAGGTCATGACTCCATCCTGAATCTTTTCTCATGCTGTTCATTTGTCCAAAAGCCTTGTATCTGTCGGGGTCTGTTTCTACCACTGGGATCAGTATTCTCTGTTCTTAAGAATTTTCCACCGAGCATACCTAAGTAAGTCAAAATCTGATTTCAGATTTCTTTTTACTAGAGCTTATGCTGAAATGTAAAAAATCGTACGGCTATTTCAAGCCTTAACTACATATGAAGTTAATTTTAAGGTGGATAGGGTATATTTTGTATAAAAGACTTCTACATTATCCAGAAAGGAACCTCTTCATGCAAACAAAAAAATCCAGCTAAACCCCAAAGTTAATTTAATTTAAGCAGTGGCTTAAATTCCCTAGCTCTGTTCCTTATAATATAAACTTTTCAAATCAGGGTCTTTGGCCTCTTATTAACAGGGACAGAGAATGCTAGTACCATACATACAAACATTCTCTAGCTTAAGTCACTTCTTTTGCAGAATATGCCACTGAAAAATGGATAGTCAGCCTCCTAATATCAGAAAAGGGACATTTGAGGGGATCTGTCTTACAAATTCTAGATCTATCATCAACAGATTATGCAAAGTGTTAGGAATCTGTCTATAACCTTAGAAAGTTACTATTTCACAGTACTAATATTTTCCAAGAAAATTAAAAAAAAAAAGGGGGGGGGCAGACGATGACATTTATTTCCTGACTCTGGATTCAAACTTTGCCACTTTATATTCAAATATTTGAAAATAATCAATATTTAAAAGTTCCCCTGTGATTAAAATAAACCTGAATGAGTCCTATTACATACAATAATATATTCTCTGTCTTCCTTCTTAAATTTATGCTTTAAACTGCTCCCTGGAAACAGTTAGCAGTCAATTTCATTCCAATTTTTTTTTTTTTTTTAAGTGAGATCACTAAATCAAATGTAGCTTGAGAGATGGCCCTACTGATCACATAATACACAAGAAAAAAATCAGGAAAGATAGATTTTATTTCCATTTTTTACTTTTAAATTATTTTTATCATTGGCACTCTCACAAATAAAATGATGTGTTCTCTCAATTTCTTTCTATTAAGAAAAACATCCAAAATTAGCAAACCCACCAGACTCAGTGCAAAAAATATTCAACTTAAAACAGATGCTCCAAATCTATTGTGTCACGCATGAATACTGTCAGAAATGTCCATTCTTTAACGGCACGATTAATGTAACGTTATGTAAAAGTCCAGTTTTCTTTAGTTTAGCTAATTTAATTACGCAAAGGAGAACAAGTTTTATCTTTGTGGACAGTATTTTCAGGAAAAAAAAAATAATCAAAGACTCAATAAGTACTTTTGCTTATAAAATTTCCAACTTCAAAGCACTTAGCTAGAATCTTCTGCCAAACACCACATACTTCATTAATCTGCAGAAGTAGGTCCTGAAGGTTAGTGTAAGTATGACTTTCCTTCCAACTGTGACACTTTTGATAAGTGTCTTTTGATAAGACACTTTTTGATAAGCTGTGAGTTGGGCAGTTGTCACCTCAGTCTCATGAAAGGAACATAACAATTTTTATGGAAGGATCTGATACCTGACAAGCTTCTCATTTCAAACACACTTTCCCAGACTGAAAGTCATTGTCAAAATTGTTGGATTCAGAACGTCACACATCTGAGAAAAAATTTACTTTTTATGAAGTCTACCCTGCAGAAGCACCCAGTAAGCATCTTCAGAAGAATTCTAAGGATGAACTTGTAAGTGCAGAAATAATGTATTTCAAGATGACAGTTTCATGCCTACTTAAAACTCAATGGACTCTCCAGTTCCATAAGTCCCCGACAGAACTAAAATTGTGACAGTGAATATTTTGAAAGAGCCTGGGGGTATTTTGGAAAATAAAGCTAGCAATACATAGAAAATGAGTGGCTTTCATTTTTAATTCATACATACAATCAATCCTTTTCACTCAGGGTTTCAAAATCTAAGCTATAGTATACAGGAAAATTCATTTCAGTACTTGCACTGTATAATTCCTTTGCCCTATTACCATCAAATCTTCCCCCACTAACAAAAGTTTCTATTTTAGTAGTAAAAATGGGCATGTAAGTTATTAGAACAGACTTAAATGCACTTTAATCTTCTCAAGCAGGCAAAGCAACATCTGCAAAATATTCAGAGAGAAAGTACCATTTATTTACCCATACACAGTATGTCAAGACTCAGGATGTCTTCCTTAACCATCCCTTTGTCATTTTATATAATTTCTTCGTACTGTAAGTTATAGATTTTCTTTGCCCCTAAAAAAAAAAAAAAAACCAGAAAATATCAACATTTAGAAAGGCTAACTCAAATACTAGGTTCTTACTACATTAAGTAAAACATTTCCCTGGAAAAACGACAACCTAATCCATCAGGCAGACATGCAAATAACCTTGTCACATTCATAACACAGTAAATAATGACACAAAAAAATACTTTTAAGATTATCAAAGCATGCAAAATAGGACCAGTTTATTCTGAAGGCCTGACGATGTTGCATACAAGCACATATAGACAATGACCAAGGTATAGCAAATGCAGAGAACCATGATAAAACTCTTAACCGGTACAGAGGGAAACTTCTAATTTACATCGTTGTTCCTAAATGCTAAATATGGGAAGGCTTTTAAACCATCTGTGTCTACTGCAGACCCACACCAAGCCAATACATTATGCTGTTCAAGCCCTTCCTGATCTACTGCTGGGTAGCATGTCCAGCTGAGTAGGATCGTACTCCGGCCTGGTAACGAACACCCGCAACCTGACAGACTATATTCTGCAGCAGGACACTTGAGGAGGACTATTTAGAGAAATCCAGGGTGTTAGGCACACAGGTTAATTAGTTGGCCACATCTGTGAGAGAATCTAGTTGTAGAAGCATTTCAGCTCTTGAGACAGGAGCCCACCACCAGATTCTGTAGATAAGATGATGCCTAATACCAAGAACCACAGCTATGCTCAAAGCTGCGCAGCCGAATTTTACTGAAGGGATAAAGGGGAAGAAGAGAGAGGGGGGTGAACCAGAACAAAAGAACAGTCTGCTCAAGCAAGACAAGCAAACTCTGCATGATCGGTAGACAACAAGCTTTATACTTCCAAACCCTACTTTACGGTAATTTCTTCTGCTAATCAGATTTCAGTTAGCCTCGCTTGATGCTATACATCAGGCACTTGGTTGCCTTGTTGTCGACCAATTCTACAGAGTTAGAATTATGAAGCACCACGCTGATGCCCGTCTTGATTAAATGTAATCAAACACTGCACACCACCAGCAGCTTTCCAGGACAAACCAACCCAGAGCATTGCTATTCAAAGGCTTGTGAATTAAAAATGAAAACAGAGAATTGTTTGTTTCATAAGAAACGTGCTGCCAATCGTTGGGGTGGAAATCTCTTCTGGTTTCAACTAGTTGTAAAGTACATTATAACCTCCTTGAATATTCTGTTATTGCCTCATCCTAACTAATGGCAGCTACCATTTCATAACGGAGAGAATAGCACATCTGCAAGAGAATAAAACTGCTCAACTTGCATAATGAAATGACATCTGTGTCGTTAGGTAAAAAAGGTAATACTGAAATGATGACGGGTATGGAAAACCAGATTAATAAGGCATATACCCAGGTGAACTGAAAGAAGCAAAAATAACAAGATAATAACAAACAGCTATAATTTGGCAACACTGCCAATATCAGAAGTATACCATGGACACCAGTGTGAATGCCCTGTTGCAGGGATGTTGTCTGGACCAATTTTGCTTCAGTGACTCCCTGTCACTTGTTTATAATAAACCTCACATGAAGCCAGAATAGCTGCCATACTCTAGCATCATCCTGCAGTAGCCAACAGGTACTGAACTTTGGTAAATACCATACCATTACGCTAGGCCTACAATGAAGGCAGGCATTTCTCAATTTTCATAAAGATACAGAAGGATTTTGCAGCAGTCATTGCCTTCAAGCTTTTACAAGTTTTAGATATTAAGGGATTGAGGATGACTCCCACACAATTTGTAAAGTGCACCCTTAGAGTTAAACACTTTCTGAAGTTCTACCAGAAATGAGCCTTCTCTTACAGACCTAGAGTAAAAAAAGACACAGCCTTTTGCTGGGTTTAGTCATCTAGTATTTGCAAACTTAAAAACAAGATATTGTTAGTCTTGGCATTTCAGCAGGGTTCTGAGATCCTAGACAGTAGAGCTACTTATTTTTCCTCCTTCCAGCTTTTTTTGATTAAAAAACCACCCCAAAACAAACAAAAAAAAACCCCAACATAAAACACAAAGTGACTTTTCAGATTACAACAGAGTCTAATCACACCCCTACAAATTCAAAACTGAAAAGGCAAGTTTTTAACGCTGCACAAAAACCTTTAATTTTGACACTTACATGCACAGATTAAAAAGTATGGTACGTTATACGTACTACAATCTTCCTTATGTTTATTTAATAGAACACTGTTTACCTGACAAGATTGACTAAAAGTGCACAGAAGCAATTTAGCCAAAAGTCACACAGTATGACACACCAGAACACAAGGAAAGATCTTCTGGAACAAATGAGCAACTTAGACCCAGGTTTAGCCATCTACTGCACTGGACTTTTTTGGGGGGGAAAAAAGGGGTATGATAATATTTGATTTTGAAAAGACCTTAGAAAGTAATCAAATGAAGACAAAATACTTTAAGTGAAAGATGCATTCAGTATTAGCAGCCTAGAGCCACCAGAAGTCAAACGAGTATGCAGTAATAAGGAAAAGTGCATGCTCTATTTCTGAAGGAGTGTGATGGAGAGTAAAAAGCCTGTCATAACAAATATGTTGTATATAATCACTTTTGCACTTCTTGTGTCTCTAATTGCAATTTAAATAAACCCAACTTTACCTTTTGTAAGGAATCATCCATACATATATTTTCAACTTACAAAACCATGTGCATCCCATATGTAAGCCCAAACTTTTCTATGTTTAATAGGTTTTTGCTAAAAGCAAACACACTAATGAAGTCACGATGGGCTTTTCCTTGCAGCATCTCAAGTAACAAGTAAATAATCATGTAAATTCTGAAGCGCCTCACATATCTGCATTAAAAATGCACACAGTGTAAGAATCCCAGTTGCAGAACAAAGCCAGACTGAGCTCAGGCATAGCACATAAATGAAAGAAGTGGTTCCAATCTCCAAAGTTAAAACTATGTAACTGTACGGCTTTGAAAATTACTGTCCAATCTCCTAGGTACTACACTTCCAGGATACAGCCCCTCGAATACTGAACTTGCTCTGCCAGAACCGATGTTGTTCTGCCATTCCAATGAAGTCAGTGTACTTCTGGAAGCATGCTATAGCATGTGGCAAATCAACAGGAACACAGCTGATGCAGCCCTGCAGGACTGTAATTAACTGCACTGGCACTGCAACCTGCAAGTCAGCTTGTTCTATCAGCTTGCCAACCTACTCTGCCTCTTGCAGCAGCTCAACATAAAGAGGTTTTTCTCCTCCGTATTTTCCCCCTGCAGGGAGCACCCTACTGAACTCCACCCACTAGAGCCTTATGTAATAAGATGCTTACATTTCTGCCCTAGCACATCATGCTACAAAGCAAAATACAGGTTTATACATACAGCTGGTTTCTTAAAGCAGCCCTCAGGGTGATGAGTCACATCTGTAGTAAAAGTTAATGGTTGTAATTATGGCTCAGGCTTAGAATCTGAAGCAGTTGGACCACATGAAAATGTCTTTCTACTTTAGCTATGTATCTATGACTTGGTGGTTCCACCTCCCCTTTAGATTTTTCCACTATACGATACAGAACAAAGACCTAATGCACATGGAATCAAGACCACAAAATTTCAGTGTAAACATAAGTTGTATCTGGTTTTACTTAAAGATCCATGTTCGGTTTTTTGGAAGTGTTAGTGTTGTAAGATAGTAATTTGGCTATAATAGAAGTCCCCCAAAGTTTCCCAGTAGATATGCCTGGCTGTAGTATTCTTTATTTCCTTTTGAAAAGAAAGACTAATGCATATACTGCTGAAGAGCTGTCATGTGGAGGCAAATAGTTATATACTGTTAGTGTACCATGCACAGACACATGCAAACTTTTTACACATATTTACAGTGAAGTGCAGTGGTATGCAGATTCTGCTCAGGCAGCTGATGAAGACAGCAATTATCACAAATCTATAGAATATTTCATATGCAAAGCTGTTCCTTATAGTTAAAAAAAAAAAAGATTCCTTGAAGACATACTACACTAATATCCCAGTTCTAAGAAAACAAATGTTATTCAGAGCAGCTACAAGCATTTGTGCTAACTTAAAAGTATCTTGAACAATTGCTTCAACTGATGATTTAATTTATAGTATTTTATTTATAAAATTTTCAAGGCTTGCAGCATTCCTCTAGTGAGATATACAGAAGAAATCTAAGCTAAAGAAGTATCGTCATCTCCTTCAGAGGAGCTAAACATAAGAACTTCAGAGTTAGTTCCCAAAGACCACGGAGACTCTGGCTATGTGGGAAAATAAATCAAATGATGGTGCCATCTCTAATGGGAAACAGAGAGGCAATCTCACCACAGACTCAAAGAAATACATAGGCACATTTTCAAAAACTAAATAGGGCATTTAACAACAAACAAAAACATAGAGCTTGAACTTAACTTTAAAACCACATTGGCAGAGAAAGATTAAAAAAAGTTCTCCTAAATGGATTGAAATTCTTTATTTTGCTTGTGCTCCTTGCCAATAATTTTAATACACAGCATGCCATCCCAGCAACAACTAGTCCCTATTTAATATTTAATTTAGAAACATGCTGCACATTGGACTACCATGCTACAGACCAGAGAGTAGGCATTTTGCTTTTTGTTGTTGTTGTTAAGATAAAACAATCAGCTAAGGAAATAATTTTGTGTCCCCCGTTACATTTCAAAAAGAATGACGGCCATGTAACGAAAACTAATTCTTTTGCAAGCAGACATAGGACAAAAGTACTTGTATAGTTACCAGGAATAGCAAGAAAAAATAGCCACAGCTTATTTAATGGAGCCATTGATTCCATGAATCTTTCATAATTCTCTTATTTTAGCTACTATTCTTAACATAAGCACTGCAGAAGGACAAAGCTGTAATACTTTTCCTAAAGTCCCTAGTAGAAAGTGTGAAAATAGGTCTTAGGGGAACAGAACATTAGACGATATTTGGTTAAAGAACGAAGAAAGAAATACAGCGTCCTTAGGGATTAAATTTAAAAGCTCAACACTTTTCTGTAATACACATTGCTTGCATGAGTCAAGCAAATACTTTCAATGTAGGAGCCACGATGTTTTGTCTGTGTACAGAGTGTATCTACACGAATATTAGCTGATAAAAGCCCCAAGAAATGGCAAAGCAAGGTGAACAGCATTAATGCCTGCCCTCTAGTGACAAATTTTTTAAATTAAGAAACTGTGACTGGGAGAAAATCTTCATTAGGAGATACAACAAGATTTCACATAAACTCAATCAGAAATGTTTGGAGAGAAATATTTTTTAAAAAACAGGCAAAAGGCTTCTACTAACTAACTCGTAAACCCATCCCTCCTAAATTCCAGGGAAGATCACTGAAGATCATACAAACATCACATCTGAAAAATACTGAGGTCACACCCCTGGTCAGTTAAACTTAATTTCTTCTTTAATGTGCACTACAATGTAGGTTTTTATTACAAAAATACTATTTCTGTGCTTCTGTCCATCTTCAGTGCGCAAAACTGGTGGTGCTCTGGTAAGGCCCACACACAGGCTTGTCGGGAAGCAGGGCTATGCCTACATTAGCAAGTACAGCAACACTCATTTTATGTGCAGCGGCACACGTTACAGACACACTCCTGATCCTAACTGAAGCAGCAGGACTCCCATTCTCCAGCCAGGGTGGCCTGCACAGCAATGCTCAGGAAGGTTAGTTAGCTCTACAGGCAAGCTTTGCATTCATTAAACAACATTCAGAGGTTAGGAAATGCCAGAAACGGTCCTTTTCCAAATCTAACTCATTTCCCTCAGCACATAATCTGTGAGTAACCCCAAAAGGTCAATCCTGAATTCTGTTGCTAATGGTTTTGGGTAGATTCTGGCAGCACTGCATAAATGCGGTTAAAATAAAACAAACTAAAAGTAAGAAAACTAAACACTCCCAAGCCTCCTTGCTCAAATTTGGCTTGTGTTTGAGGCAAAGGATCGCAATTGCTTTGTTCTACCTGAAATCAAACTGCAAAAAATGCCTTTTCAACACTAAAAGCACCAGTAGAAAATACATGTTTTATATATAAGTGTTACTCTGTGTAACTGGCTGGTTAGAAGACAACTAGGGTTTGTTTTAAAGGAGGGGGGGGGGGGGGGGCAC